TGACCATGTCCCGCAAAGATGGTCAATTTGAGGACTCATCTGATAGTTTTTTATCTGCCAAGGGCTGTGAGCCCCTAGAGGATGCTAATCCAAGGATAGTTTCTCCCAGTACAAAACCAAAAACCTTTTTTTTCCCTTCTGAAGCTTCATTGCAAGCAGCCCCTGTCTGTGCAGGTCCTGGCATTTTCGTTGGAAATGCTTGGGGCTACATCTCACGGCTGCTGGAAGTCATTACGTGCCATCAGCCAGGAGACTATTCTCAGACTAAACAGTGGCGATATGAAAACGCATCCCTCTTGGGCAGACTAAAATCATTAAGGAGAGGAAAGGACTCAATCTGGGATGTAAAATCCCAGACAGCAGTCTGCTGRGGCCTTTAAATTCTGCAGGGAATGATGCCAGCAGGTGCTGTCTATCCTGTGCCCCGTGGGATTCATGCTTGTGTAGCTGCTCGTTGCATGTGCTTTTCTGCACGACTCCTGCAGCTGCCTGTTGATGTCAACCAGATGCACCAGAAGGGGGGATTCTGCGTGAGACTCGGTTCCTACCAAAAGCAGGCAGTGAGATGACGGAGAGAGACCTGTTTGAGGGGGGAATGGGTGCTATGAATTCACCCTTTTTTGAAGTAGCAGAGGATTCATGCCTGGGGGCCTGAGAAATAACTTGAGCTGTGCCAAAAGTCTGGGTTGGAGCTTCCATTTCTCCTTTTCACACCAGAAAGTCTATGAAGGAGGGAAACCTGGATTAAGGGAGAAGTGTCACGCTGATCTCTGATATGCAGGCACCAGTGAAGTTATATGGGGAGTTTCCATGTGCAAAATACCCTGGAAGATATTTGGAGACCACGGAGTGAAAAGGGAAGGGGCAGAGTTAGAGGTACGGTGCCTCCCATCATCCACATCAGGGMGATTTTCAAAGGTCTGACTTGGAAGGGTGATTTAAATGCTTCCTTTGGCTGATGGCTGAGTTCTTCAAACTGAGGATTATGAGCGTATCTGTCAATAACTGAACACTTGGCTGTGCAAAAGATACAAATYTGTACTGATTTTGTAACAAAATCCGTACTGGTTTTGTTAGTTCTGGCTTTCACAAAATTGTGGATGCTTCTTGTGGCATTTAATCTGTGCTGCACACTGCTCATGGAGGTGCAACTTCAAATGTCATGCCTGGCAAATGCGCCACTCCAGCTGGAAAAGAGCCGTTGTGTCGGGAACCTGCCCTATTTAAACAGCTCTCTAGTTTGCCCAAGGTTTTTTGGATAGCATTCATCTAAACGGTCCTAGTTTTCAGTGCAGAAATAAGTTAAACGTGATGGATGTTAATGTAACTGATTCAATCATAGTTTATATTATGCCTTTGCAGCTAGGATTCTTAGCGTGTTTTCCTGGCAGCCTGGCAGTCAAAGCAACAGCAGCAGTTGGGTCCTCTGCTTTCATCTGTACCAAGTGCTGCCCCTCTAATTAATGACCTGGAGCAACATGCAACCAGTTTTGTTTCAGCTGCTTGGCCTCCAGGATGGCCTGGAGCTGGCCGAGATGTGCAGAACACTCAGTCATTGATGGATTCACTTTCCCTTCTTGTACTCCCAACTTCCAAATTCTAATCCTTGCTTCCATATAGCAACCTTCAGCCAGAGACTGTGCGGTGCCTTTTGTTGCTCACGTTGAAGGGAATTTCTCTCATCAGTTCTGATCCTGCAGGATTTCTGCCCTTGTGGGGGCGGATCAGGAACCCATGATGGCTCTGTGCCAGGCGCTGGCAAGGCTGGATTTTAGCATCATTAAAGCACCGTGCCACGCACTTATCTCTGCTCRTCGCTCCTCAGCACACCCAGTCTCAGACTCATGCAACGCTCCTGTTCAAGCCGGGTCTTGTTTCGGGGCAGGTTTCAGCTTCTTTGGAGGAACGAGCCCTGCTTCTCTGCGTGTCAGCAGCACCGAGTGCTTCAGCGTTCGGGGAGGTCTGACGATTCATTAACRATGCCTTTGTGGACGGAGCCTCCAGCAAGCAGAGGGAGACGGTTTGTGCCTAGCGCCCTGGAGCCGGTTTCGGAGCAGATCAAAACCTCTCCCGGCAGCCTGTGTTTGCACAGCTGCCACGCTAGGGAAAGTTAACCCAGAGCCTTTGGTTGCCCGGTTCAATCTGCCTCTCCAAGTCTTGGCTGGCGATGTGATCATTAACTTATATATGTTAAAACAGTGCTCAAGTGCAGCGTTTCCTCCATGTGTTTGTTTTGCTCGCGCCTCTGTAAAAGCACATGAACAGAGTCATAGACCTGAAAGGCCAGAGGGGAAATCCTGCAATTTTGCCTCGTTACCTTTGCACTGCGCCTTGCCGCAGGATCGGTTCCTCTTTGTGCTTTATTTCTCCCGAAACATTCCTCCTTCCAGGCATGTCTTCCTCTTCTTTGCCTCCTGGCTCCAGCATCTTGCAGATCTTGTTGGGGAAGAYGCCTGAATCAATTTGTTGAAGTATRAGCCTCTTTGCTTGTATTTTTATTTCTAGACAGCTTTCTTTGACCTAATGGTCTCAGAATAGCCCTGAAGAACTTTGCAGTCATTGCCCGGGTTGGCATTTCACAGAGGGCATTTGTGGGGACCTGGTGGTTTGTGGGGAATTCAGAGCAGTGTGGGGGAGTTGTCAGGAGAGAGGGCACCTGGGCAAACGGCAGGTTGAAAGGGCTGTAAAGCCCTTTCTTTAGMTGGAGGTTTCCTTGTTGGCAGCAATTCATGTAATTTAATTTGCTTTAACCAAGCCTGGTTTTGAGGCATTGTTTTCCCTTCTTGGTAACAATCCATGCTGAAAATTGGAGTCCTTCTAATCTAAGAGATGTTGCCACCACCGTCACTACATGCTGTGGCAGCTCTCTCTGTGCCACAACAAGGCACTGTCACAAAGTGCAAAAACATCAATAAGTCTCTCTTTTTTGGCCATATTCCGGGGCTGTTTGGGCTCTCTAGCATCCAGTGGGATGCAGAGGAGATGTGTGATGGCCTGGGACTGCTGCAGGCTGCAGCAGTTGGAGATCACAGAATCACAGARTGGTTGAGGTTGGAAGGGACCTCTAGAGATCATCTAGTCCAACCCCYGTGCTCCAGCAGGGACACCCAAAGCATGAGCTGGGAAGAGGAAAATCCAGAAAGCGAGGATGGCAGGAAGAAAAGCAGGATGAACACGGAGCTAGCTGAGCTGTTCCCAAATCCCTGCTGATCCTTGGCCATCAAGGACCTGCAACTTCGCYATCTCCCATTGAACTTCTTCTTGACGCCGACCCTGGTGTCCTTCACACCCCGAACTTTGGGGTATTTTTCTCATGAGCCGTTTCTTCAGCCATAAGGAAGGTTTAATTATTTTAATCTCGGGAAATAATTGCCCGGGCAATTTCCCTTGCAGGTTTTAAAATACGGATGGGCGAGTGTGGATGTGTGTGAAGATGGGGACTCGCAGGGGCCGAGCGGCAGCGGTTGCTGCTGGCTGCACTGACCTCTGCTGGGCAGCACCCGCCTCAGTTGTTCAAGCTCATTTATAATCTAAAAACTTAGATTGCTTTGGAGAAGCAGTGAGATTCTCAAAAATACGAATGCGAAACATTAATGCGCACACAATAAAATAGTACTGTGGATAACCTGGAGGCTTAAAGCACATGTTAATTTGCAGATGCAAAAAGATTATTTGTATTAAAACCATCTTTTTTTTTTTTATGTTGGTATGAGCTATATGGATGATAGCTTGTGTGCAGAGGTACATGAAGGGCTATGGAGAAATACATCTAATAATTTGCATTAGGAAGGGAGCTATTTCTTGAAATGGCATTTGGGATACTAAAGTAACTCCAGTTAGCTAAATCAAGACAAAATCGTGCTCTAGCAATGATCCTTAAGGGATCAGGCACTGGAAGTGCACAGCAGATTTACAACGTCCAAACCTAAGGCTATATGGAGACAAGTGGTCTTTTGGGTTCCTCTTGACAATGTTATGAACTTGATTTGTGATGGAGTCTACCTGGAAATTTTACTAAAATTTTGTGGAATTTTCCAGATATTTCTGAGAGCTAACAGCCTATCCGCATGAGTGTCCCATAGTCCATTATGTTTGGACTCACATACTGCTGATGTAAAATTTTCTGGGCATTAAGGACCTTATGAATGCTGCTTTTGATGACTGATTATGGGCCTAAATTCAGGTCAGTCATTATCTTTTCATTGAGTTCAGAGGCAATTGGAAAGATGCTGCTGGATACAGAGCACCTTCCACTTTCTTTGTTTTCATGGAGAGGTTAGGGTGCTTACAACTGCCAGGTGTGAGGACCTGACATGCAATTAAGCTTCTTAATTAGCTTGAACCTTGAAACATTTAGTGATTTTATCATTAGTCAGAAGTGCACTGTGCTTTCTTCCCAAATGACTCTAAATGTTGCTTAATCATCAGTTTCAGTGTCTCCTGTATCTTTCTTGCTCTTGAAAACAGTTGGTTGTAATTGCTGCCCCTCAGAGTTGCATTGGTCATCCCTATAAGATTTGCACAAGTCAGATATATACTTCAGAAATGGTTTGTACCTGTGTAAGCAGCAAATTGGGACAGGATGTGTATTTATACAGATAATTTTTCTCTTAAGCATCGTGTTCTCTCCACTGTTGTGCTCTGCTTCCGTCACACCCTTGGACCCTGTTTGGCTCCTGCCCTGGCAACTCAACCATCTTCATCCGTTTGACGTAGGAACCGTAGGCTGCTAATGCCCTAACTGTGTAATCATTAAACATTTTGGCCTCAGAGCAGGCTGAATGAATTTTTTGCTAGTAATCACAGTATTCTGAACTATGAAGCACTCATGATTATTTATTTCAGACAGGAACATATTAATGTATTTTATGATTTAATACCTAATGAAGTAAAGCATTAACAATTAGTTTCTGACTACAACAAGAAGCTTTTTGTTTCGCAGCCATTTAAAAAAAAAGTCACTCTTTTTTCTTTTACTTATCTTGCTTGTTCTTTTTCAGGATAAAGCATGAAAATATAGTTGCCTTGGAAGACATATATGAAAGTCCAAACCATTTATATCTGGTCATGCAATTGTAAGTACTGAAGCTAATGAAGCTTTATTATGAAAATTATCAACTATTCTTGTTCTAGTTTTGATATCTTTAACTGAAAAGATAGACCACGTGAGAGGTGTTTCTTCTCTTTGCTGCAATCTGGTGGCTAGGATGAGGCCTCAGGTGTGGTTGCCCAGATTGCCATACACTTTATGAAATTTGGGGCTGTAGTGCTGTGTGAGTAGTCTCAAAAATCAAATAAGAGTAAAGAGATTTATGAAAAAAATTGGCCCTATATGCGTGGAAGTGCCACACGTCACTTTTCTGTGATCCAACTAAAGTTGGATTTCTTTCCCTCCTCTCTCTCTCACTTTTCTTTTCCAATCTGACTGACATGAAAGGCAGCAAACCCACCCAAACTCTTGGCGGACTGTGAAAGTCCCTGGTCTGCTGGTAGCGTCCAGCATGGAAGTGGCATTAGTGGCTGTCTCCTTTGGAGACTGGGAAGAACAGCTCTACACATTTTTTGTTGTCCATTTTTGTCCAGTATTTCCCATTGCAGTGAGAAAGAACTTAAATAGGAATGTTGGGCTTGTACAAATTCAAAAAATAGCAGGTGAATTGTATGAAAATACATGCTTTTGTTTAACTCCTTCAGGAAAAAAATCAAGATTGTTCCTATTTATTATTAACTTGTTTAATGTGGAATGATCTTAACTTTTCTAAGTTTCTGATGTCCAGCTCACTGGATTATCTGAAATGTAGATCTGCTATCACAGATGCTGCTCAGTAGTTAGCAGTATAAATTTCTGTTTGCTCACAATTCAACACTCACTGGCAGATTATCTTTGCTGCTGTAGTTGTTCTCATGCATCCATCCAGTTCATTTTTCAAGAGCCAGGCATTTGGCTGTTACAAATGGATGCAGCATGACCAAAGCCCGAGGTGGTGAGAACACGGGCTGCTGTGAATCCATGTGCAGGTGGGGATGCAGCTCTTGGTGCCTACGAGGTAGACCAGGATGTTGTGCTTAGCCATGTGTTGAATTGAACCTGCTGCTGGCTAGGATTGATCCTTTTTATCATTCCCATTAAAAGAGACAGGAAAATTTGTCAGAAAATATGGGGTCATTTTTTTAAACCCTGGGTACACAAATGCAATGAAGCTGAAGTACTGCCACAAATTACACAGGGAGCCAACATGAAGACCTCAATGTGTACACATGCTCTTAATCTGCCTCAAATATGGTGTAGAACACATAAGCTTATTTTCTTAATGTCATTTGGTAGGATGACAAGCCCACCTCATTGCTGCAAATTAGACAAGGCCACATGGCCCTTTACGTAGGATATGCTAAGGAATAATCTTTCCCCACACTCTTGCAATAGCAACAAATTATCCTAGGGTGGAAAAGAGGAGATGTCCAGATGCTCATCCTGGTGACCATGAACCTGGCACCAAGGATAGTGCAACCTCTGCACTGCCTTCGCCTTCGGAGTTGGCAGCAACAGTTGGGAGCTGGGTCTGCAACTCCACGAAGTAGAGAGGGCTCCGGATTGATCCGGCACATCTCACCGTTTTTCCCTCTGTGAGAATAATCTCTGGTTTCCTAGGTAACATCAACTTGTTGCTACAATAGCTCAGGAATGCTGCACGGTGTGAGGAGTCTTATTTGTTTGCATCACTGCCCTATTTACTAGTCCTTGTGGGGGTTTCAGCTTTGGATTTTCCTGTCTTCTCAAGAGTAACTTGCGTTTAAAAGTGGGGTTTGCTAGGAATTAGAAGTGCTCATGATCAAGCATGGACAGGGAAATAGCATTTAGATAAAAGGAATAAGAGGCGATATTTGGGCCCTGTGTGAAAATAAAGATTGGTATTGTGGGCACAGCAAAGCTCAGCTTCTTCACCATTCTCCTTTGACTCATCACTTGTTAAATGCGTATTAGCTAATGTTTGCCAAAGGGGATCTTTTTGCTGCATGGGCAGCATTTTCACTGCCAGCCATTCTAGTTTCATGGAAAATCCACACTGGAGTTCCTGGGCATCTCATGGCTCAGTTGTGCCAAAGGCTTTGGGAAGTACCTCCAAGTACTTCGGTTATCCCTGTGTTGCCCACAGGTACATCTGCTTTTTCCTTTGCATATGTATTAGCACGCCAACCTAAAGGTTAAATATTGCATCTTAATTTGGTCTGTTGAAAATACAGGCAAATACAGGTAGCAGTGTCTGTGTAGGAGCTCTAGGAGAGGAAGCAGAGCTTGTCCATATCTATTTGACAATTTATTCTTGTAAGTCTCCCTAAAAGCTTTTCCAAGGGTCATGCAGTTGTTGGTGAAACTTGGCACATTCAGGTACAAATGTGACCGCTTGCTTTGGTTTCAGGCCTTTATTTTCATGTAGGTTTTGTCAGTGATCATAAAACTGTTCAAAAACTGCCACAATCCTCTTGACTAAAGATAGACCAAAAGTCCAATTTGGAAATCTCCAAATTTGACGGTGTGTGCTGCCTGAAAGCATTAGGCTTTTTCTTAGAACTGATGGGCCATTTCATCTTCATTTATGTTTTCCAAAATACAAGCTATTTCAACACAGTTATTTTAAATCTGGCAAGGTTATGCACAACCTGAGCAGTCTTTGGAGGGGAAATACGGCTCAGTTTTCATAGGAGGTAGAGTTACCAGCACAGCTGCAAAGCAGCGTATGGATGTAGCATAGTTATTGCCTCTCCCGGAGTGATTCAGCTAAAATTTTACAGGCACTATAGAAAAGCACCATAGAGCACTTAGGTTGAATTTTATCATATTTCCATTATTATGATGTGCTTTCAAGCCAAGAAACCCGCTGCTCCATTCCTAATGTTGGTTTCATGCTGTAACATTAAGATCTGCACAGCCAGTTACCTGCTGAGGATAAAGACAAACCTTAAAATGCTCAGAAGGTTTCACTGCTCTTGGATACTGAGATTTCCCCAGAGGAAAGCAGGGGAAAATAAAGTGCTTTCAGAAATGAAAGTCTTGATCTATGTCTTGATATGACAGTAGGCTTTACTAGTGAAGAAGTAGAGGGTTTTTGAGTGCTGATGCTCTGTGCAGTATCTTGGGGCCACATTAGCAGCATTAACCAAACCCTCGCTGTCTCCCAAGCTGTCTGTGTTATCTGTGTTGTCTTGTCGGTATAGGGAAATACCCTAATAACCTGCTGTGTTTAATATTGCCAGATACTAATATTTCATCCACATAGGTATCATCTTTGCATGACTCTTTTCCTGCATGCTGGAAAATGATGTTTAAAATGGGATTTTTGCGAACGTGTTTTCTACGTAGTGCAGGAGTGCTTGGAAGTGCTGTTTGTGCTTACGCTGGCTGTGCAGGGCAGGACGGGTTCTCAAAGGCAGCCTCTTGCTTCAGCCGTATTGTTCACCTGCATCGAAGCATGAAGCAGCAAAATCTGATCTTCTGTGTATTTGTGCCTAAAGGGCAGCAGTCCCACACCTGTGAACACAGGCCCTGCACTGCTCCACACGTCTGATGAGAAGCATTGCTCTGTCACTGCTATGGAGCTGAGTGCTTTGCCTCACAGAGATATGGGGCCAAGTTAAGAATCAATGATAATATTGTTCAGTCCTTATTCACCCACTGGGTTTCTTAAACAAGTAGGACCATAATATTCTTCTGTCAACTTTGGTTGAAGTTAGCCTGATGTGTCAGGAGTTACTTGGGAGCAATCATGGGACCACGTTGCCTCACTTCCTTTAGGAAGCAAGCTGCAAATAGGTCTAAAAGGCACATCCAAAGATTATAGGATTCATCTGCCTGTCCCAGGGAAGAATGTGTGGCCTGTCTCTGCCCATCGTCCCTAGCAGATGTCTTTTCAATCTGCTGCAACGTAAAAATCTCCAGCAACTGAGATTTCATATGCTCCTTGGTGGCAGGTCACACCAATGCTTCATGTTATTATTGGCCGAGAGCACTTCCTAATAACTAAACCTTCTGGGCTGTAATTTAAAGCTACTGTCTTTGAAGTCTTCTCATTTCTCTCATTCCTCCTGAAGGTACCAACAAGGTACTGTTCAAAAAAGTTCTTCATTAGGACTGGAGCTTTTGAGTTGCAAAGAAAGGGAGGTGAATGAGCCAGGACCTTTTCCTGAGATCTTCAGAATCTGCTCAAAAGAAAGTCTAAGACCTGCCACCAATCTGGCATAGCTTTCCACTTGCTTGGGCGTCTCCACTGCCGAGAGTGGGTCTGATCCTCTCCGGGGAAGGGCTGTTTTACCCAGATCCTTTCAGTCTCTGTTTTTGTTTCTCCAAGGAAACTTGAGTGTCTTCCCTAGGAGAGGTCATTTGAGACTTCTACATCTTAGTTCAGTGCATGCTCCCTGTCTTTGAGGGTTAGCCAACCTTGAAATGGTTCTCTTTACCTTTCCAAAAAACCAGATGTATGTGCCCTTCCCCAGAGAAGAAATGGCAGGGATCTGGAACAGCAAAACTGAGCCTAATACCGTGCCCTTTGGGAGTTTTCCAGTTTGGCATCCTAACTGTACTTAATTATTGGGATTTACATCACAGCAAAGCTGAGATGACGGGGGCTCCTTCCTGTTGGGTGGAAGACTCACGCATGAAGAGGAGATGCCTGCCCATAGAACTCATGGGCTCCGAGTTTGCACTGCCATTTTTCTGCTGTTTATCAGCTTTCCTGTGCCACACATGGGCTTGTAATAATCTTGAAAGGGGTTGGGTGAGCAAGTTAGGCACATACCTGCCTGCGGTAAAATCTGTGGGCATTTTTATGACTCCTGGAAGCTCAACCAACTGCCGCTCTACCTTTTACATATATATTCTGAATATAAGTGAACCAGAAGTCCAAACCAAAGCCCTAAGCAGTGACGAAGGGCCGAATTCCGTTTGTTTTTTGAATGCCCGATGCATGAGCGCGGTCCAAAAGCAGTGGAGCGTGGACTGCGTTGGAAAGTGACATTTAAATTAGAATATTCAGCCTCCAAGAAAAACAGCAAACAATTGAGGGAAGTGCCTCGTTTGCCA